GAAGACAAGAACGGGCTGCAGAAGGAGATCGAGACCAAAAACCATGAACTCCAGGAGAAGATGCGAACCATCGCACAGATCAAGAAGATCGGACGGCGTTACAGGACGCAGTACGATGAGCTTAAGGTGGCGCACGACAAGGTACTTGTTACCATTACAGCTTAAACTTCAATCCAAAGCCTGAAGTAAAAGTGGGTGGTTGTAAAATATGTTTCAATTGATCATCTGGTGATAAATTAGTTCATCAGTAGTGCAGTTGTGCTTCCTTGAGGTTAAACTTTAACTCCATATGTTCTCCAGCTTGTAGCTGAGGCCGCGGCAGGCCCATCCCAAGAGGAGGAGGCTCGTCAGGCCTCGGTTCAGGAGCTGCAGAGCCTCAGAGATTCTCTGAGTCAAGCTGAAGCTCGGAGTGCAGACCTAGAAGGACAGCTGGAGAACATGAATAAGGTTTGAAAACTTGCTGAATCCCCCCCGTTTTTATTCCAACGGTGTTATATGTGCTGATAAACCTCTATACTAAAAGTTCTTGGGAGCGTGGGGAAAAAAACAAGTGTTTAGACAATTCTGCACCTTAGGTTGTCACGGAGCGCGAGACCGATGCACGTAACGCCCAGGAACAATCATCTCGGCTGCAGACAGAGCTGACCAGGCTGCGGCAGGAGCTGCAGGATAAAGCCTCTCAGGAGGACGCGCTCCGACAGCAGATGGCTGAGAAGGAGGAGAAGACCAGGAAAGCCATCGTTTGTGCCAAGCAGAAGATCAACCAGCTCGTGGGTGAGGGGACTACCATAAACTCCTGATGTTTACCAGTTACTTGCTCTTCCTCACATCGCTTGGCTCTGCGTTAACGAGCATCGCTTCTCACTTCCAATCTGTGACGTTTGCGATTTACGATCAGGCGCTAAAGACCAGTTGCAGAAGGAAAACGAGGAGCTGAAACAGCAGCGCGAGGAGCTGGAGGTGCGAGTGAGCGCTCTGAAGTCTCAATACGAGGGCCGTCTGAGTCGGCAGGAGCGAGAACTCCGAGAGCTGCGAGGTCAACAGGAGAGACAAGAGCAGCGAGACGAGCCAGCTGAGGCAGGTCCCAGCAAGGTGAGGATGTTGTTTACTTTATAGGCTACTTACACTGGTTCGCTGTAATATGAATATTTTAATGTTTTAGGTATGTGTCACACAACTAAAACACGATTATCTGCAAGCGTTGCTAAAATTGTGTCTTTATTTTATCAGTGTTCTCTATTTTGATGGCTTAACTATGTTGGATTGGAAAAGTACGGCGAGTTTAGAGACCGTTCGGCGTCCTGATTCTGAGCATTTTCTTTCTTTCGGTGCTTTTAGACCCAAGAGCCGCAGAGGAGCACGGAGCAGAGGCAGATCAGCCTGAAGACCACTCCAGCTGCAGACAGGGGCAGGTAGGTGCACTATTTAAGCG